CAGTTGATGTTGGGAGTGCTGTGGGAAAGCAAACACTGAGGTGAGTGTGCTGAGATCCTCAAGGGTTGCTGAGTCGCCCCACATCTACGCCAAGTTCCAATATTGTTCTAAAGCTGCTGACCAGCAGCACCAAAGTCCTTGTGCTAAAAACCGCGTGTGAATCGCACTCGCAGAGACAACACAAGGACAGGGAGGCTCTTACGCCCATACAGTGTAACTTACATCCAGTTAAGAGTGAAAGACAAATTAGAAACATGGGCAACTCCTCATTTTAGGCTTTCTTGCACTCTTAAAATATTACAATGAAAAAAATAAAATTGAATTCAATAAAATCATTGCTTGACATAGTTACACCTGAATAATTTTGCCAAGTTTCTGCCAATGGACCTTTGTTCAGCTTTGCAATGCTTCGTCTATTTTTTTTCCTCCTCTCCTCACCCAGTACTGTCTTTCCTGCCTGGTACATTTTTGTTTTGACTTCTCTGCTGTCTGAACTGAAGCCTTTTACCCTAAAGCCAGATAATAATTTTGCAGGTGTTTTCAGCTCTTTCTAGTGTAATATATAAGATCTAATAAATTACATATATTTTGCATTGGCACCAAGTCATCCTCTCTACAAGCAAAAAGCAAATGATTCCCTTCATTTTAAAGAGTATCAACAACATTTTAAAATAAGTAGTTAAATTTTATCAGATCCTTCATGTTTCCACCCCAACCACGCAGAAGTACATTATACAGAAGTACATTAAACTCAAAACCTTATATTACATGTATTTGTGTGCATTTTTCATTTAAATTTCACATGAAATAGACCCAGCTGTTACATCGAGTATGTACTGTACTGAAATTGTGAACAGAGAAAAGATTTCTTTATTTCATCAACTCACACTCCTATGCTGGAGCGAAGCTTCCGGACGTCTTTGGATCTTTTGATCTCTTCTTTACAAAGGGTAAATAACTTCACTGAAAAAGGATGGCTGGAAATGAGAAAGAAACAAAGAGGAGAAATAAATTTCTATCAAAATTCAAATGCATTTGCTGACTGCAAAGATGCCAAATTAACATTCAAAGGAGAGGAAAGACACAACGCAGAGCAGCACATTCTCTTCCTCAACAGCACCCCCTGCTTTAGGTGCACCTTCGTAAAGATGCAGATGAGTTTGGCCACCACGTTACTGGGTATTGTATTGTATTTTATTTTATTTTATTTTTAACAGGGAAGGAAAGAGATGACTATTACTTATTTACACCGCTACTGCATGTGTGCTGAGGTGTGAGCAACGAGTCAGTACATGCATGACAATCAGCTAGCCATGGCTTGAGTTTAAAACAAAGCGTGGTATGATCAGAAATACTATGTCAAGAATTAAAATATTCTATAGCCACATAAAAATTATTCAGTCTCTGTATCACTGTGGTGCCTTGGTCATTCCCTCAGGTCTTCAACCAAGCTTTACATAAAAGGGGATGAATGTTGTTCTTAAATACTCTACCACTTCACGGCCCAAATTCTTTTAGTGATTCCAGACAACGTAATTAAACACAGGGCTTACAGTTCTGCTAAGTGTACGAGTCATGAAGCCATCTTTAAATATATTTAGCAAATTCTTTTCTTTTTCCACAGTCTGGGAAATGTGATTCTCACAGCTCTTTCCCAGACACTCACACAAACACAAGTATTGTTAGTATATTCCAAGGATCTATTAAAGAGAAGTAAAGAGGGAATATTGCTTTTATTTCAGTACAAATTGTTTAATCTTTTACTTGCTACACTCAAGGCTGAAGTGCCATAGATGCAAAAGAAACTATTTCATATTTGTCTAGTAAGTATAATTACTTCTAGACTGCATATTTTGGAAACCTCACTGTATTGTGTATGTAAAGCAGAAAGTAAAAATCCTAACATTCATTTTCTGCTACCCTGATTCAAAACTGTGGATAAAAAACCTACTCAAAAAAGCTGTGTAATCGGCTGAAAAACAGAACATTTAAAACAAGAGGTTTATAGAAGTGACAAGATGTTTTGTTAAATTAATGCTCCTTGTTATATACAGTTTTCCAGACAAGAGTTAGTGGTTTTTACTTACTTTTTAAAAATTCTTAAAAGAATACTGGCATATACTGGCAAATATTGACTTGGTTAAAAAAAACCTGAACAACAAACCATGGAGACATTAAGCTCAAGAATGCTGTCTATGGCTGGCTCAACATTGTCCCCAAAACCACACTAAGAGAGTAAATAAAATTGCCAAGTTTTCAATGTTGATACTGAGACTTCATAAGACATTTTCAGAGCTGACTGACAGTGGCTTTCAGGACCAAAGAGTCTGGGGCGGGGTGATTTAAAACCCCTCCATCAGATGCTGAAAGAGCAAGTTCCTTGCCATCCTTGCTGCAGCCACGTCAGCTCCTTCCACATTTTAAGGAGTAGGATAAGCACAGAAAGCACACGGGTAGGAGACACGTGATGAGAATGACAGAAAACTGCATGAATGAGTCAGTCAGGTGTGTGTCTGCAAACATTGATTTGTCCAGGTAGATGAGGGAAGAGCATATCTGCTCTCGGTATTTAGAGAAGGTATGTTTTTTCTTACCTTGGTGAAATTCCTCCTCCTCCCACCCCTGAATAGATGAAGGCATTGTGTGGATAACTAATTACAATACCTGCAATGCATGTCTGGCTTTCAGCACAGAACAACAGCAATATAGTGAATTAGGTGAGATTTAAATTGGTTGAACAACAAGGACATTGCTAGAAGTACAGCAACAAGAGACCAGTTGGAACAAGAGCATCTGGAATAAATTTAATACATGTAACCTTATGTGCAGCACTTTGTGTTTAAAACAGATGCACTTTCCTTTCTGTCATTTGCCAATTTCACATTTATAATAACTAAACCTAACCTATGTGTGATCTCAAATGACTCAAATAGCTTGGCCTCTTTAAAGGAAATTGAGAAAATTCCTTCTCCTGTGTGGGCACAGTGCCAGCAGAAACAGAGGAGGCATCTGGGGAAAAGGGATCAGTCTGAAGTCTTTACATTATGTAAATTGGGCGCACGTGGAACCGCAGAAAGGTGTGGGCTTCTTCCTCCTAAAGGTGAACTGAGCTTCAACAGTTCAGCTGACAGCACCCGGGGTGACTGTGAAACCAGGACAGTCACTGCCATGCTCTTTACTTTATGGTCTCTTATGCAATAGCTGAATAATTGCTTTTAAAAAATCCACAGGAGCATGTAATACAAAGAAATCATTAATCTGGGATCAGTGGGGACATATATCATCTTAAAACACTGTGAGACCACCAGAAAAATATTACACATATGCAATGTGTGAACACTTCTGATGAATATGTAAAACACACATACAGAAGAAACACCACTTTTCCTTATCGCTCCAGCCAGCACTAGATCCTGAATTGTCATTCAAAGGCTTTTCTGTTCACAGGGTACTGATATTAGACTCACCTTACTGAACTTCCTAAGGAACTAACAATCTATCTGGGCTCTGGGCAGACTGAGCATCTCTGGAGATCATTCACTACGGGACCAGCAGAATGACTGCAGCAGTGACAGGAGCCATAGCCAGGACAGAACACTCCAGTGCCAGTGTTGTGAGCAGCCTCAGTTCTCTCCTTTATTCTCCCTTTCCCTCATCCCACTACCAGCAGGGAGCTGACAGTTACCACCACCTTTTAAGAGGAGCCACTGGTGAGTTTAAAAAAGCCCAACGCACTCTGCTTTATTTGTGGCAGCTGTTTCAAGCACCTTGCCCTTTGCTTCCAGCAGTCTCTCCAATCAATTCACACTCCCTACATTATTATGAATACAGCTCCACAAATTCACAATGTACACTGAGATGAAATCAGGAGGTTTTGGGTTGTGCCATCACAGAAAAGAAATTACATTTCAACTGAAAACCACCGCCCTGTGTGGGGTGGGAGGGCAGGCGGGGCAGGGAGGAACCCGCAGGTGACTGACGCTGCAGTTCCACAAACGCTTTAGGCCCGTGTACACCTGCCCTGCTGCCAGAAGAAATGGGTTTCCTCCACCACTTCCCTCCTTATTTTGGCACAATTTGTGAGCACACAGCAGAACAGATCGAGGAAATACCGCAAGCTGAATTTTACTGGCAGGAGGATATTTTTAAGTGGGAAGAGTTCTCTAATGCCACTGATCATGTTGTAATGCAAAACCATTCCTGCCAGTGCAAGGGAGAGGAAAATCTCCTGCTGGACATGCAGGGTGATGCCAGCTTCAGAGGAGCAGGAGTAACAGCCTGAAAAATAGCAGAGCTTTCCTTTTCATGGAATCACAGAATGGTTTGGGTTGGAAGGGACCTTTAAAGGTCATCTTGTCCAACCCCCCTGCAGTGAGCAGGGACATCATACTACGTACTTTCATACTAACGATTCAGACTAAGCCAAGCACAACAGAGAAAAGCTGCTCTGATAGCCTTTTGATTACCCCAGCGATACTAAAGTTGATTCATTTCAAACCCCACTAGACAGACATTTACCCTCCACTTTGCTTCCCTGCTGGCAGGGTCAGCAGGACCCGGGCAGAGAAATGAGCCACACATGAATCTCATTTTAAACACGAGCATTCACAATACTATAATGAAGGAGAAACACCCAGTGTTCCACCTGCCCTCCTGCACAGAGATCACAAGATCAGCCAAGAGCTTCACGAATGCTGGAATTCATCTACAGGACTGAGCCAGAGATGTCAAGCAGCGTATTTTAAGCTTCATGAGCTATGTGGTGTGAAGAGGCAGGAAAATGCACCACAGGTTATCTCTCTGCGGGGCAGGAGTGACACCATGTGGCAATTTGCTTTAACAGGAGCACAGCTCCTAACAAGTGTATAACTCAGCCAAGAGCAATTAAATTTAAATTGTTTAAATTAAACAGTGCAGGGTATCACCAGCCCTGGACTGCTAGTGCTTTATTAGAAGAAAAAGTTCAGGATATCATGGATATGGATACAATATCCATTCGAAACTTCATGTAAGGCCTGCAAATACTTTTTTTATAATTTGAAAATTGACTCTTACGTGGCTGGTATAGGCATAATCCTGATGCCAGACATCCTGCAACCCACGTTCCCTTGCTAAAACTCCACTCAGCCCAGTGTGGTAAAATATGAGAGAAGGAGATGAAATGGGAGCTGAATGCCCCAAGGAATGCTAATGTTTCATTCCCAACTCTCCAAAAAGTTTTTCATTTGCTACACAACAAGGAAGAAATACACTGAAGCAACAGAAAAGTTGCTCACCGGCAGTAAGACTGTTTTTTAAAAACAACCATGCAACTTCATCCCTCTTATTACAGGCACACTTTATATAAAAGTACCTGAAACTGCCTGAAACTGGACACATGGCCTTTTGATGCCACCAAGCAGTATTTCTACATTTCTATGGCATGATTCTTTGGAAAGGGGATGAATGGTCCCACTCGGGGAACCAGATCTAAATTCACACTTGTCCATAGGCTTTTATGCAAAAAGATGTAGGTGTCACCCAACAGTGCAGGCAGGCCTTGGAGCCAGTGTCAGCGTTCATCCATCCCTCACTACACCCAATGGCACATGCCAAAGTGAGAACACGTACACAGTGCATCAAGTGTCCTTCTGGGCTCACCCATCTGAACAACGTGCCGCGTTCAGCCGCGCGGCACACGGGCTCTCAGAGCACAGCGTTACCCGGACGCCAGGCTCACCTGGCTCCCAGTGAAGTACACACAGAACCTCCTTCGTTGTTACCCCTCGGCCATAAGGTACTACAGAACTGTCACGTGCAGGAACTGCATTCTCTGTCTCTTTCTAGCTGTCTCCAAACTTCCTAGAGCTGTGGCCTTACAGAGCTTTCATATGATAATGAGTTCTTGCACTTCATGCCAATATTTTATTCCCTTGCTATAAGAATGACCCACCACGCTGTATAAATAAATTATACTTTTCTTTTTTTGGTTTCATCTTCAAACTAGAATCAAATACATTTGGATCAGCTTCAACATTTTTCCCCTTTCCCCTCTTAATCCCCCTGGATTTCATTTCATGCCTTTTTAATAAAGCACTAAAACAGCACCACAGGATTGAGTTTGAGTCTCTCTCACACAGCAGATGCAGTGATGCTACCACACGCTTTGTGTTTTGTGACTTGGGAGACACAGACTTTACCTGGGATTTCCACACATAATCTAACATCTTCCCCAGCAGGGAAGACTGGAGCCTATGTGGAAGTCCCAGATCACTGGCATGATTACCAAACCAAACAAGGAATATCCATTCCATCTGTGAGTATTTGACTCATTTTGAATTCCCATTCAAAAAGGGACTGCCAAATTTGATTTAAGAGAGATTATCTAAATACCCACTTGAAAACAAGAGCAGACTCAATTAAAACTTTTAGAGTGATAAAAGCTTTTCAAATTTATCTGCTGTGAGCAATTCTTACATCAACAGATTCTAAATCCTACATGCTGGTAAGATTCACATTGTACAGTTCTGCAAATATCTGTAGATGTGCCAAGATGCTGCCCGTGAGAGTTTGTGGAATATATTTTAATATTACTGAAATTAAAATCATTCTCTTCTGAAACATCTGCAAAAAAGTAGGATTTCACATTGGAATATCTTACTCATGTTTACCCATTCCTGAACTAAACACTTTCCAGAAGACTGAGCTCGGTGTGGAAAAGCTGGGACATGCCTTTTTTATTCTTCTTACTAGAATCTTAATTAACTTCCTTGGAGACATTCACAATAACAAGAGCAGTAGGATTTTGGAAGCCATAGCCTGTAGGTGCACTATTTTGCAGCATGACAACACGACACTGCCATTGCTGAAGGCCCACAGTGCAATGAAGCATGTGTTCCAAAAAGCATGCATTTAGGACACCAGGAAAGGAAAGCAGCAAAATGATCTGACACTGGCCCAAGTCCACCAGGTGAAACATGCAAATTGAATGTGATTAATGTACTGCTTGTTAAACAATGAACCAATAACTGACTCCTACACTGATATGAGAGTCCAAGATTTTAGCAAGACCCTTCCAAGGCTATCTGGTCCAGAATTCAACACAGCTGCCCCACTTCAGAAAAATCAAAACATTATATCCAGATACAGACACTTAGGAGAGTCCTGTGCACCCACATCTACAGCAACATTCAGCAGCAGTCGGTGTCAGATTTAAGAGGCCTGTCGCGTGGTGGAAAATAAACAAAAAAGACTTTCAGCAGCTTACTTCTCTTGCATGGTAAATATATCAAAACAGCCATTTGCCAGCATTTGGTCCAGCATTATCAGGAGAGGTACAGACACCCTGATAAAAGAAAACAATTTAACAATGTAAATACACTTCTTGGCATACATATATACACTATTTTTAATTAGAAGCAAAGAAAGAAACTTCCTATCTACCTACACATATTTAAATTAGAACTCTAATTTACACAGAGGAGGGTTGCTCGGTAACTTGTGTGTGTTGGTTAAATCATTCTGGTTGGCTGAGGGCGACATTCCGTTACAGCCAAAAGGAAAAAACCTCATTAACAACATGTCTGGTTTAAACTTGCAGGGTCCTGAAAACACAATTAACAGTTGTATAAAATATTAATTTATTTTCTAGTATATAATCAACATATTCTACAAAGTATCAGAAGTTCCATCATCTTGTCACTCCAGGTAATTACCAAATGAACCAACACACAATGTGTTGAGCTGGAATAACTATGGTCATGTTTTCTACTTCAACAGCTGAGACAAAAAACAAATAAACAAAAAATCTGAAAATTCTATTAATAGTTGTGGGTTTCCCCCCGCAGGGAATATCTTCTGTTTTGCACATGTTTGATAAGTGAAGCTTAGAGAAAATAATCTCATTATGCAGAATAAGTCACCTCTAAAGAAAAATCTTCACAAGAAAATTATACTTCAAGTATTTGTGAAAAAATACCACCTAAACAAAATGCAGATTGGACTACACTGAAAAGTGTGCAGCAATATGCAATCCCCAATACAGCATCCTATAAAAACTGGTGCTTATCACATTATGTGCAATATTAAACTATAGTAAATGCAAAATATTCTGCAAATATTTTTCTGCAAATTCTGCAAAGCATCACTCCTTTGTTACACATTTTAGCAAAGGTCCTGCTGTACCAAACAGGTGCATTACAGTAAATTTACACATCTTGGGCAAACTTCATCTAGGCATATTTAAAAATATGTGCCATACATCTGACTTGAAACAGTCCTGCTATTAAAGATAAAAAAGTGAAACTAAACCCTTACCGGTCATTGTGCAGGTTGTCCTCAAAGACCTTTAGCAACGTCTCACAAAAACTCTCCATAGCGCTGGAATCATTCTGGATTTTCTTCATGTAGTCAAAAAGGCTCTGGGCAGAGTATCTGAGCTACAAAGGGAGGGAGCACAAATGAAGGCACAGGGAACAAAACCCGCTGCATCACACCGGACACCGACTCGGCAGAATTACCCTAATCCTTCACTGCTCCGCTTTCCCCCTCTACTCCGCTCTTGTAAGGCCCCACCTGGAATACTGCGTCCAGTTCTGGAGCCCCCATCACAAGAGAGACCTGGAGCAGCTGGAACAAGTCCAGAGGAGGCCACGAGGATGATGCGAGGGCTGGAGCAGCTCTGCTGTGAGGACAGGCTGAGAGAGTTGGGGCTGTTCAGCCTGGAGAAGAGAAGGCTCCAGGGAGATCTTATAGCGGCCTCCCAGTACCTGAAGGGGCTACAAGAAAGCTGGGCATAATGGCAGCTAATGACATAAGGGCAGTTAATGACAGAACAAGGGGAAATGGGTTTGAACTGAAAGAGGGGAGGTTTAGATTAGATATTGGGAAGAAGTTCTTCACTGTGAGGGTGGTCAGACACTGGAACAGGTTGCCCAGAGAAGCTGTGGCTGCTCCTCCCTGGAAGTGTTTAAGGCCAGGTTGGATGAGGCTTTGAGCAACCTGGTCTAGTGGAAGGTGTCCCTGCTGATGGCAGGGGGGTTGGGACTGGATGAGCTTTAAGGTCCCTTCCAACCCAAACCAGTCTCTGATTCTATGATTCACCACTTGAAGCGTGCACCTGTGCTGTGAAGTTATTCTGCCAACAGCAGCCAGGTGTGAGCTCAGTATCAACGTTTAACAGGAAGATGGCTATTTTATTTTTATTAATCCTTTTTCAAGGAAGAGTTTTTAAATAATGTTAAGTTTTGCCATTGTATGAAAAAAAGACCACATTAAAGGTTTGTTATTTTCTTTCTCTCAAAATAAAACATCCCCAAACCACTATGATTATCCTGCTTTACTTTAAGTAATAATATTGTTATGGCTCTGACGGAGAGTACAGGAGAAGTTCAAGAGGTAATATTTATTAAACAAGCTGATGGAACTGAAAAATGCAGGCGAGCTCTTGGGCACATGGCACAGGCCACAGAAACCAGCAGTAAACTCAGGTTAAAAACAACTCTGAAATAATGACTCTTGCTTTCTAACGCTCACCAGTTTAGAAAGGTGGCAGAAGGGGGTTTTTGTGCTTATGCTCCAGGCGCAGCTGGAACCAGTCCACTTGGGTCAGCCCAGCTGCTCAGGATCACAGGCTGCAGCCTTCGCTCAACAGCTCCCATGGTCCCAGCTCTCCAGGAGCCACCGTGCTCCTCAGCCCAGGCCAGGCCAGGCCAGCTGCTTCTCTCCTGGCCCTGCAGTGCGGGAGGGGAGAAGGCAGAGCCTCTGCGGAATCCTCGTCCCCAGGCAGGTAACGCTGCACCCTTGAGCGGTGGGACAGGGACAGCCACAGGCTATAGGAACATCTCTGCCAATCTAACATTCCTCATTTCTGGGAGAGGGAGGAATTTTATTTCCAGGCTCATCCTTTAAAATATTCATTGACTTCCCTTGAGGTTGAGAAGAAAAGTTTGGGGGTTTTTGTTTGTCGTTGCAGGGTTTGAAGCTGACCCCAGTGATAAGAGAGTACCACCCCTCCTCATCAATAACTTCTGGGCTTTCATTTCAGTTTACAGAGTAACTGAGCTATCCTATTTACCAAATGTCCTCACAGAAACAACCACAAAGGGAACTCTCTCACTGAGGATGAACAAATCAGATTTCTGAATTTTTCTGACTTTTCTGTTAGTCCCCCTGGGACTTTGTCCTAAGTCACATAGGGAAGGAGTAGGGAATACACCTGTAGGATCTGGGTTACAGTGAAGGGGGCTGCAGGAAAGGTATGTGGGGCAGATCAGTTTTGAAGCAGAAACTTCCTTCAGTTTTAATTGCACATGTTAAATCATTTTCTGTTGTTTCAAGAGGGGTTGTAAGCAATACAGAAGCCTATTCAGTCAGTGGAGATTTTCTTTCTGAAGCTCATACATAGCATTTTGATAGCTCATTCAAAGACTCAATCAGTTCCCTCACAAGACTGACCCTTTTATTAAGAAAAAAATAGATCAGTATGAGAAGTGCCGCAAGTGTCTTCCTTAAGAGAAGAATCTCTATTTAAACATCTTAGCTAATTTAAATTTTATATCAGTAACGTTTATGGGTGCATCAGCACAGGAAAACAAGAAACATTTTAGCCTTGAATTGAAACTCTGAACTAGTTTTCAAAAGCTTTAGCCTACTTGAAAACAACAGGGCACAGCAATCCATGCTACCTGGAAAGGAGCAGAGTCTGCTATTTTAACTATTGGTTCTATAGTGAAACATACTGGGCAACACAGAAGCAGAAACGTTTCCTTAAAAGGGTCAAGTGATTATAAAGGAACTACTCAATTATTCTGTCAAATATTCTGTCAATTATTCTATCATTTCAAAATGATAGTCAAGTCTCAGTGAAAATTGTTTAAACATTTGTAAAAGCCAGCTACATTAAACTGAAATACTGAATTGAACCGAGGGTCGTTCTTCCATACGCTAGAAGTAATGTTGGTTTGCTTCCCTGTACTGAGTGTAAACTGCATCCTAACACTGAGAGGCCTTTAGAGGATACACAATTGTAAGGAAGAGAGATTTCCTGAAAATTTGAAACCTGCTTAATTATTGCATACTACCCTTTAAAAACCATCTGTGCACTTAAGACTACTACAAATAAAGAAGAAATATTTTGCCTTAATACCTTACACTAGCAGAGATTAATTATAAGCAGAAGAAATGCTGCATCCAAGTCTTGGGAAAGATCTTAAAACGTGTATGGTTAACCATGTAATTTTCTTTCCTCATTCTTTTGTCTTTTAAAGTTCCCTGCAAATCACACACCATTTTTTGAAGAAAGCTTGTTCCAAAGCTGTGCAAAACCAAGACGGAGTAGCAGAATAATCAGAAAAAACTGTATAACGAAGACAGCATTTCTTCATGAGCAAGTAATTAAACAATTAAAAAGTACAGGTGTGGACAAACCACCACATAACTGCTCGAGAGATTTAAAAATAGGACATTTTCCAAATAGTCAGCATAAATGATACAAACTCCACCATAAACAGTATATGAACAGGTTAAATCCATATTTCCTCCTCAGGTGAACACTCCTTTTTTCCCAGATAACCTAAGAGGACAATATCCAAGCTCTAACCTTAACTGCTCATGAGTATTTGCTGAGAAGAGCATTTCCAAATCTATTCTTCGACTATGCAGAACGCAGAATTTGCACTATATCAAATGTGTGACATTTACCTTTCCCTCGGGTTCTACAGGGACTGGGAAAGGAAATTAGGAGGTTAATGGGTTGGAACTTGGACAACATCGGATAAGAATTTAAGAGCAAGCCTGAGAATGACCTTGTTCTTATTAAACACAGTAAAAATGGGGTTTGCCAAGGCTTGGCTCTCCCATCATTTAAACCAAGAATAGGTACTTCAGTGACAGGCAATATATGATAAGGCAAACAGTATTCAAAGGGACCATTCATCTGATGATAAAATTAAAGTCCTAAAGATTTTTACCTCCTGAACAAGGGGAAAAGTATGAGGAAGTATGGCTACAGCGAGGGCAGAAGGCAGCTAAAGCTCTGGACAGGTGCACAGCGTATAAATAAGGTCTAAACAAACCTTCATGAAATTGTTTCCTAGTCAGCTTGTTGCAAAATTGAAGTATGGTACTTCTGAAAACAGAGTCAAGGCAACAACTGGGGCTGATATAGTAAAAATAAAATCAGCTTAGGCATCCAGTTCTGTAACAGAGCATTCCAAATCTCAGCTATATAGATGCCTGATCCACCTAAGGGCTCCAATTCTTACTTTGCAGCACTCTCCTGGACAGACCAGATAAAAAATCCAGTAGGGTATGATGGGAAAGGAAGAGCCTGTACTGAAGATGTTCAGTAGATGGACAAGCCCTAATGATTGTCTGTCTCCCATCTAACCACAGTCTCCTCGGAGCCACTGGTACCTTCAGAGAATTCAGTCTTCTGCACCTGACGCACCACGAATGGAAGTCAAGTGAGTAATGACCAAGAAAGCCTGGGCAAAATCTGCATTTTTATACACAGATAATGGCTAAGTGCTCCAGTTTTCATGGAAGCATTTCAACAGAGAAAGACCTACTCGCAGAGTCAGAACATTCCTGTAACGCATGCAGAATAAACCACATTACACTCAATAAATAACACTGGTTTGGGATCATTTCTAATCCTGACAAATTTACAGCACTGAAGTGGCAGTAGCCTATTTTCCAAGTAACGTTAAAAAAAAATTGTGTATCATTTAAATTCTAGCACAAACAGAACTATGTCTCCCTTGTTTTACTCGCAACGCTCCTTTTAATACATCAAATCTTTGGGGGCCAGTAACTCTAAGACTCAGATCAGTGATATTTTACAAGAAGTAGGAATACAGTAATTCATACTGGTTTATTCTTTAAAAAAAAAGAATGCTCAAGAATTATCAACCAAGAAAATTGAATGTAGGGCATGTTCCTTCAATCAAATATCCATTAATTTGCATACAACTCATCACAGTAAGCAGATGTTTTAGAACATCATCTATGAATGCCCCAGTATTTTAATTTGTAAGAACCAACACAGCTGTTCAAAGCCCAGTATTTTCCCCAAACAGTACATACAGTCATAAACATCACCAGCAGTAAGTGGGTTTTGAGGAAAGTAAAACATAATTTGTATAATGTATTTGGGACATAGATAATGTTGGCATCCATATGACACAGGCTTTAATTTTTGTCAGCTGCTTTAACATACATGTGTATTCAGAGATAGTTTTGGAACTGGCTACCCCAGTTGTTACAGGTCTTTGGGATCTTCTGCTGGAACCCTGGTATAGGTTTCTGGGACAAAACTTCAAATTTTCAGACTAGGTTACTTCTTTTTTTTTGAGGTTTTACTTAAAATTTCTATAACATTTTAAAAAATTTAATTCTCACTCTT